AAAAGATAGAGTAGTAATGAAGGTGACATTTAAAATAAACCAAAGTTGATTTAAATTTAGGTAGTATTTATAAAAGAATTATTGAAAAAATGTGAGTAATTGAAATGTATATACACGTTCTTTGTAAACACTTATAAGAGCGCAAGAGGTTAACGATATAATTATTATGAATGCTTCAAACAAACTGTTTGGAAATTAGATAGAAAAAGCAAAACGTGTCAGCTGTGAAAGTATAATTATGTGTAAAATAATTTAAGATACATAGTATTACATACGATTACAGATAAGAGCAACATTTTGAAGCCACAATTTGTGATAGAATTTTTTACTAAAGTAGTTTTCAATCGTGGCAATTATTACATGGTAGCGAAATTGTCTCGACCATTTGAGAATTAAAAATTTATCTTCTAACAATTTATTATCTACTAATTTTTCATATGATGCTTTTCTTTTGTGGCAATCTCATAGTGTTTAAAAGACGTTGAAAATAAAATGAAAATACTTTGAATTTACTATAAAAATAATTTATGTTGAACAAACACATAATAATTGTATAATTTTTATAGTTTAATTGCAAAATCACGAAGGTGTTATATTCTTATTTTATACGGAACGTCTAATTTTTAAGATACATATAGAAATGAGGTATAATACTTCAAATCGACGATCATTTTGATAGAGATTGATTCAATTGTTATCGTGTCTTTGCAGCCTTAGCCAGTTCACGCTAGTCATAAGTTGTACGCATTAAAATTTCATTTTGTTTGTAGAACGAATAGCAAAGATTAATTCAAATTACATATCTTAGAGTAATACTAAAATATGTTAGACTGTTATCCAGAGATGTATTTAATCAGATAAGAAAACAAGTTAATTATTATTATTGTGAAAACCATGAATTCTCTGAGATTTTTCATTAGCACACATTAACCAGTATTACATGCAACTCTGTATATTTTCCGAAGTTAATTCTACCGAATCTTTTCTTACAATAAAATGCCAATACAAAGTGAAAAATTATACATTTTAGCATACGAAATAGACAATTTCACAAGTTTTACTCGTTCTTCCTACGAAGGAATTTCAGAAAGAGATAATAAATAATAATAATAATAATAATAATAAACAATAATACTTTAAAGAAAAGAATGATGTTCTATAAACTATTTAAACTATGAATGTAATCGGTGATAAATTATAGATGTAGTACACGACTTAAGTACGAATTTGTTTACATATATTAGGTCGAGACATAAATGACTTCCGATGCAGCTAGGTAGAATCTGTTGTTCTTATCTATGCACTATGAGTCACCGGAACAAACGAGTTTTTGCTTTCACTAAACAGATAAGAGTTCGAAATAGATGAAATAAGAAAGAAAAAAGAAAAAAATAAATAAATAAATAAATGTTTGATAAAGAAACGGAAGTTATTTATGATTCGATCTAATATGTATACGTATGTATATAATTTTCTTGAATCTTCTTTCTAAACTCATAAAAAAAGTAACGAAAAAAGCTTACTGTGAGTATAAAATATTATATTATTCAGGTTACTATGAAATAGAGTAAAAGATTAGAATTTGTTATTAAAAATAGAATATTAGGAGGATATATCAGAAAATAAATTAAATGTTAACATATTAAATTGCAACGTTAACGTATTTTTTATTTGATGGGAATTGTGATTTTATAGGACAATATAAATGAAAATAAATTGTTAAAAATCACGTGCACAAAAAATAGTTCATTCTGTTTCAATTTCTATATAT